TTGGTTTGCATTCCCATTACACAAGCTTGGATTTACTTTCATATACTTTGAGCTTGTGTAGTTTGCTAGTTACCTTCTTGCTTGTGTAGCATAGAAGTAACTCCCTTGCGTGTCTAACTTGGTTTTAGTAACCTTGTTAGTCACATTGCTTAGTTTGTGTAGCTAAGTAATTTAAGCTCTCTAATTTGTCTTGTGTAGTCTTGTTATTGAGCATTGCTAGTGAGCTTAGAAGCTTTGCGCTTTTGCTTACTAGATTGCGTAGGAGCTCCCCCGGTTGGCAAAATACTAGTGCATAGGTTTATGTGACCTTGCCACTAGAATTGATTAGGTGAGCTCTAGCTAGCCCGGCACCTTAGTTGCATAATTAGGATATTTGTAAGGTGTTAGAGAACATAGATAGAGGGGTGTAATCTTGGCTAGACCGATAGTTTTAATTCCGTATTTGTTTCGATTAGCTGGCGCGATTAATTTTAGAAAGGACTATTCACTCCCCCTCTAGTATGCCATCTCGACCCTACAAGTGGGCTAGTGTGGGCTAGCGGGCTGGGCCTGATTTACCTAGGCGGTTGGGTTACGTTGCCCGCCTCGGTTAAGCATTAACCGAGGCAGTTGCTGAGCCGGCTGCCCTGCCACGAATAACCGAGACGGGCAACCAGCCCAACCGCCTCGGAGGCCTATTTTGGAACGTCTCGCAAAACATTTTGTGTAGTAGTGTAATCAAACAACATTACCACAATCCTGAATTGCCTTGAGTGCCAAAAACCGCTAAGAACAGGGCTTAAACCGCCAAGGAAGTGATCCTTGGCCACAAATCGTCAAGCAAATGCACTCAAGAATAGAAGATAAGGGAAATTAGTTTTCTTGACGGTTTTGGCACTCAAGGATAATTTCCTTGGAGGCTGACCTCCAAGGAAACTACGACCAGACTTAATTTGCTGAAGGGCCAAGAAAATGTTACAACCGCTAAGGAAAATAGTTTTCTTGAGGGTCGACAGCCGCCAAGTAAATTAATTTTCTTGAGGGTCGACACACCTCCAAGGAAACAATCTAGACCGCCAAGGTATTTGTTGTTTCCTTGGCTGCCCTTCACCTCCAAGGAAATTATTGTTTTTCTTGACTGTCATTAACCGCCAAGTTAATTCTTATTTCCTTGAGGGCTGGCCCAAGGAAATCTATACTGGCAATAAAAAAAATAATTGCAGTAATCAGTATATTCTACTATTCTAGTCACTATATTCAATTGACACATGATGACATGCATATACATTTTGTTATGGTGCCCAACCATTGTATTGACATTAACATATCCTTAAGAATATTACAAGTGCATTTATCATTCGTCCTTACATGAAGTCCATACATCATAACATACAGGTTACTAATAGTTTCCAAAGTGGTAGGGGCATTACTAACTCCCGTGTCAAGCCCTCCCACCACACTATCTTGTGACCTAAGTTGTACATTTGCTGGATGCATACCTACATGCAGTGCCGGTCCTGAGTTTTTCTAGGCCTAGGTCGAGAACTAATATAGAGGCATATAGTCCACTCTCTACAAATATTTATATATATTTCTATTTATACATATAGTCTCCCAAATACACATCAATTTAGAAGATAATATTCGATGCACTAAAAAAACATATATCGAATATCAACCGAACGGTGCTTATGGATGTGATCCTCTCTGTTCTCTGCCGTGGGGCGATCCCGTGATGATTGATGGACTGATGCGGCTGCGAACTGGATCGCGGATGAGGATGATGGAAATTGGGATCGAATAGGCCCTAAGAATTGTTGATCTGCTCGATTACCTGTGATTACGTCCGGCGGCCGCACAGTTCATCAGTTCGCGAGTCACGACCTTCACGTTGACGAGTTCACGAGTCGCCGAACTCTGAATGGAAACTGGAAAGTGTCAAAGGCAAAGCCTTCCTAGACCTTCGCTTGCTATATTGGGCTACAACCTATAGAAGCCCACGTACGTTACACTGCTTATACAACATATAAACTAATGGCCTATACTAATACTAGTACTAATCTACTATATGGGTTGAGGTCCACCTAAATCTGAGGCCTACATGACCGGCCCTGCCTACATGAGAAAATAGAATAAAGAATCGATTACTAAGCATGTATGAAATCAGCGTGGCTCACATAAAAATACAATCAGCATGGTTGTAACCATGTAAAAATAAATTAAGATAGAAATCCCAAGAACATATCGGTGTACAAACTTCTTTTATGGTTAACAATGAATCACAGTGTTCATGGAAATGGAAATTAGCAAGTATCGATGGAAGTCAACAAGTCTGTAGCCATGTAAAAATGCAATCAGCAAGGTTGTAATATTGTAAACACAATCTAGTATTAAATATTTGCTTACTACACATACATATTATTTAACTTATGCTTGCTCAGCATATGTTTCATGTTAAATTTGCATAGATGTACTAACATCCTTGATATTCTAGACAATCCATGTACATAACAGGTTCATGATGAAGTGTTTCTAAAATGCAATCCAACATTATTGCTTCAACCATACTGAAACCACTCAAAGTCATTAATAGATGCAGGAAGCGCAGCCACAAGGTGCAACTCACTTGTGGAGACCAGCTGCTGGTGTTGATCTGCAGCACGACTGCTAAATCCTGGCTCCCTCTGCAGGTAACCCATGGCGATAGCCCTAGCCATCACAAAGAAATAGATTTTTTTTTGGCGGTTAAGAATAACACTCAAGGAAATAGTAGTTTCCTTGCCTGTTTAGAATTACACTCAAGGAAAAATTTCCATAGCGGTGCTTAGAAACCCCAAGGAAACACCCATATTCCTTGGCGGTCTGCTTCAACCCTCAAGAAATATATATTTCCTTGGAGGTGGATGTCCACAGCCAAGGAAACTATACTTTCTTTGGCGGTTTGATTTTGGCACTCAAGGAAATCATTGGCCGTCAAGGTAATTCCAGATTCTGGTAGTGCGAGCTAGCAAGGTAGCTTGGACACGATATACAAAATACAGTTTAGCTCCGGCCACTACAATGTAAAATCATCATGGAAAGAACTTCCTAGAGCTGCCAACTCGTGCTACAGCTACAAGATTACCACCTCTCTTGGGACAACCACTCATCCCACACTATAAAACTTTCAAGTCACCGCCTCCTTCAGTTCATGGATCAGCAACGCCCTTTCCAATTGTACAGCATCCTTCTCTAAAATAATACGGAGTAAATATGTTTTCCCGTCTCTAATATGCATCTTGAAACATTTTTTATGTTTGGTTCTGTCATAAAGTATGCTGTGACACACTTCGGTTATTTACACTGAAATGTCCATCTTTATTAGCCTTCAAAAAGCCAGGTTCAGGGTTCTGCAACTTCTGTTGCCGCCTACCCCTTTCATCTCAAAAAGAATGATATTATGGGATGCGTGTTGATAAACTTTCTCAAATTTTAACTAGCTTTATAAAAAATATTAGTAGTATTTGTACTAAAAAATTATTATAAAAATATATTCCACGACTTATCTAACTATACTAATTATGCATTGTAAATATTAATATTTTTAATATATAACTGATCAAAGATAAAAATATTTGACTTCTCAGAAAACGAGAATGTTTTTTTTTACAGAGTACCCAAAAGTTCAGATGCCACTTCTACTTTTGTACAAGTCTATTTCTGCAGCTTGCCTACCAATCAGCTTCTCTGATTTCGTTAACGCCACCAATTTACTCGGAAGGAAAGAAGTCTTGAGCTGTCTAGCATCGAACAACGAAGTAGTAATAGATAGATTCTTTTTTCGATTCAAAGGTTTATTAAAAGATTTGATTGAAACTCAAGAAGGCCATATCAATTCCAGATGCCAGGCCAGAAGCCATTATGGGCTGACTGGGCTTTCTGTAGGCCCCCCTCGCCCACTAAAGCCACGAAGGAGGAGAAAAAAAGAAAAAAGTCACGTTACTTCCTCAACTTTTGCGAACGTCTGTTTTTCTTCAGTGAACTCTAAAACTGGGTAAATTACCTCTCTGAACTTTTAAAATAGTTCGTTTTACCTCCCTGACCGATTATAAGCGGGTTTCAAAGGTGGTTTTGTCTTTTTCTTTTTTATTTATTTCGGCTGAATCTTTAAAAAAATCATAGTAAATCAAAAAAAAAATCATAAAATAGAAAATTCTAATTTTATTGGACTCCACATAAGTACATCTACACAGTAAACCTATAATATGGTATGCTTTAGTATAAATTTTTTGCTATAGCTTTAGATCTATACTTTTCTGTAATTAATTAATAGTAACAGTTTTTATTGTCTAATTATGGTAAATTTTTTATGGTGAGATAATTATTGTATTCTTGAAATGTAGTAAAAAATATCATACTCATTGGATCATGATAAATCTATAACTAAGTTATACATGATTCAATGAGTATGAAATTTTTACTACATTTTAAGTATACAATAATTAGTCCACCATAAAAATTTCACCACAAGTAGACCATAGAACTGCAGCTATGAATTAATTATAGAAAAATATAGATCTAAAGCTACAACAAAAAATTGTAATATAACATACTATATTATATGTTCACTGTGTAGATCTACTCATGTAGAGTCCAACAAAATTGAATTTTCTATTTCATGATTTTTCTATAATTTGCTATGATTTTTTTAAAGATTTAGCTGAAATAAATATAAAATAAAAAGACAAAACCGCTTTTGAAAATCGTTTATAACTGGTCAAGGAGGTAAAACGAACGGTTTTAAAAATTCAGGTGGTGGTTTATCCGGTTTTAAAATTCAGAGAGAAAAAATAGATTTTCGTAAAAACGACGCCTATACACCACCGAAAGAATAGGAAAAAGAAAAGAAAAGTTAACGGCTTGTCGGCCCTCCACGAAAACGAAGTCCAGTCCAGCGGACAGACGCGAACCGAGAAAAATCTCACGAAATCTCTCGTGGCCGCGGTGACCGGAAGAAGAAGACGGCGACGGAGGCGGCGGCGATGGCGTGCCGCGCACTTGCCCTCCGCTCCATGCTCCTACCCGACCCGCTCCACCGCCTCCCGGCCGCGGCGGCGCCTGTTGGGAGGGCGCCCCGCGGCGGCCGCCGTCCGCACCTCCGCTGCTGCTCCGGCGGCGGCGGCGGCGGGGACCCCGGGCAGCCGCCGCAAGAAGCTGTGCTAGAGGCCATATCCAGTGAGTCGTCATCCCCCACTCCCCCACTGCTTAGTAGTACGAGTTATTCCATATCTACAAGGCCCTGCATGTTTCAGCTTGTAAATTGTGAAAATCAGCTTGCAAATTGTAACAATCTACAAGATGGGGGAGCAGATTGTTGGGTTGTAACAACCTGGCCTATTGGATTGTTACAATCCAGGGTGAGTCTGCTTGTTTGTTTTAGCTTGAGATAGTAAAAGCTACAATCCACAATCAGAATCTAAAACAAACAGGACCTAAGGATGTAAAGTTACATATCTGCTTGCAAAACTATGTTTGGTTAGTGCCTACTTTGCCAAATTCGTGAAATTTGTGTTCATGTATGCAAGGATTCATGTTTTCACTGAGCCAAAACTTCTGCTAGGGTTTATTCCATGCTCAATTCATACTGGCTTTTTTTTTTTGAAACCAGAGATAGCAAGGTCTAAAGGAAGGGTTGCTCTCACAACAAATATGGTCATGGGTGGTACTGTGACGGACGATGCAAGTGATGAATGGCTTGTTCTGGATCAGAAGGTGTGTCTCATTGTCCAGCTTTGTCCATCTGCCTTACAACTTACATAAAGATAGACTTACAATGGGCACTGTCATGTGCGGACGCACATATGCCAGGCGCGGACGCGCCCGCGACGTCCGCCGCGCGGCCGAGCGCGTTGGGCAGGCGCTGCATGGGTTAGCCTCTAGTGGCTAAAGATAGAAACTTAGATTAGTGAGTTGTTTTGGGAATTCCTAGAATCAGGGAGAGCCTTCCCCTTTTCGGTTGGGCCATTGGCCATATATGCTTGTGATCGCTGAACAAACGAATCAAGAAAGAATTATATTCCTAATCTCTCTCTCTCTCTGTTAAGCCTGCGGTTGAGGGGGATAACCTCACCGGAGAAGACGGCCGACGGCTACGAACTGCATAGCCGCGGTCCGGCCAGTCAGGGGTTCGACGCCCTTGACAACCTGGTATCACGGTCACGTCGGTCCTCTCCCACGCGCTCCACCCATTCTTCCACAGCCACCCACCACCCTAGCCCTCCACCATCGCCGCAGTCCTCCACCGCTTCCGCGCCGCAGCCAGCAGCCATGAGCCATCCCACCATCGCCGATGTGATGGAGATGTTGAAATCCATCACCACGGAGATGACAACCATGAAGGCCGACATGGCGGCTATGAAGGAGAAGTCGGCCTCGTCGTCGGACAGCGGCGCCGGCGGCCGCCCGGAGGGGCCGCGTGATCTTGATCGCCCCCCAAAATTCCAAAAATTGGATTTTCCCCGCTACGACGGCAAGACTGATCCGATGCTCTTCATCAACAAGTGTGAATCCTATTTTCGCCAACAGCGCACCATGGCGGAGGAGCGCGTGTGGATGGCCTCGTACAATTTGGAGGACGTCGCACAACTCTGGTATTCGACGCCCTTGACAGGCACTCTACGAAATAGTTGACTCCTAAATTTTGAGAAATGCGATGAGAACCCTTTATATATTTGAAAAGCTCTTGTTTGTACCAATATTCCTTCTGGAAGCAGTAGCTTGGTAACATTAAGGTATGATTTATCACGTGTTCTGTTTTCGGGAAATGGTAGGTCATGGGAAGCTAGGTCACATGACTTTTAACTTTGTGACACTCATTTGTGGTATTCTTTGTATGTTCTGAATACAATATCTTACACCATTGTTGGTCAACTTTTTCGGGAAACAATAGAGATTGAGAACATCTCATGCTGGCTTTCATTTTCAGCATGCTTTTATCATGATTAATACTGCTTCATGATAAACTTTAATCAGTTTGTGCGCAACAAAGTGGATCTCTGCTTGAACCCTAAAAATAGTAAAGTCTATATTTTCTTTTAGGCATTGCTTACTAGCTATACTGTTTTGCTTCACAGGTAAATTCCTACCCCACAGATAGAGGATTTACAGCAATTGGCACTGGAGGTGATGATTTTGTCCAGTCAATGGTAGTTGCTGTTGAATCTGTTCTTCAAGAATCCATTCCCAAGGTTAGTTTTTACAGTCCTTAGAATTTATTTGTAAACCTTGTAGTTATCGACGGGAAGATATAGTTAGGCTGCTAATGCTTTGCGTAGAGCCAATACTTCTGTGAAATGGTTTGCACACTAATAGGTTCAATATTGGTACTCTGATTGTGCACTAATCATTTTCACTTTAGTTATTTATTGTTTATGCTTCTTAGATGGTACTATGGTAGTAGACTAGTACTTCCGTGAAACTTTGCTTTCCTATGTGAAGACATGAAGGAAAAAGCTGTGCCAGGAGACATATTCCAATGTTAGATTGTAGTTGTCTCTGTTACAAAGGCAATATCATGGCCATTACTGACCCTCCTATCCCGATTATTACTGGCCCTGATAGCAGATCATATTTGCACCTCCATTTGTAGCATTGTATTGATTAGACTAGGCTAGAGGACATTATAGGATTTTAATTCTTTCCTTGCATGTACACTCATGGTTGTATAAGTACAGCCTGCAGCAATAGAGAAAATCATTCCCCTATATTATTTCAGTCTCATTTTACAATCGTTTTGTTGATTTATTTCTCTGATGCTATTCATATATATCTTATTCATATATATCTTGAAATGGTTTGCACAGGGTCGGGTATCTCAAAAATTATCTTCAAGAGGAAAATATGTTTCTGTAAACATTGGACCAATTCGTGTTGTTTCTAGTGAGCAGGTGACATAAAGTTTCCCCTTTATTCAAATGTCTTTGCCAGGAAAAAGATGCCTATTTTCTGAGTTGTTTCTGTTCATTTCATTTTGTATAGACATACAGGTTCCCCTTTTATTGAAGTTCTGCCTGCTGCTTTCCAGGTCCAAGCTGTGTATCGTGCCATGAGAAGAGATAACAGGATGAAATACTTCTTATGAAGTGCAATTGCATGTCCTGCATATTCCCTAGTCCATTCCATCTTGTAACATAAGGAGTCCTAGAATGCATTTTCGCCATATTTGTAAGTACCAAATCAACAAATGGAAACGTTGTGTAGATTGCCTGATTTCTAGTTGGCCCCTTGTGATGTCAAAGTTCCCCTGATTGTAGGGAATGCAGGCTGGACCTCTGGTGAATTCCAAAAGGAAATGGGAAGACTTATGTGCCATTCAAGCCCAGACTGTTGAAGCTTATCAAATAATCTGCTACAAAACAATTTATTGGATTCAATTACGTTATGGAGTGCAGCGGGCTGCGGGCGTACATAGCTACTATGTATGTTAAAGATGTATTTTAGTGTTTCATATTAGATGCGTTTTACTATTTTATAAACAAGTATGAATAGCAGTATAAGTGTTCCTAAATTATCGATGTGTGTCTTCAAGCCTATTAAAACTATAAGACGGAGTCAATTTTAAGATACAGGACTTCCCTATTAGAACAGGCTGTTGGGATATGCTGCCATTGCTTGCCTTTTTTTTTATCGGGTATAACTTGGATGTACACAATCCACACATTTTATACTTACATCACGCGTGCGCATTGGGACGAGCCTCCAGTATGCGGAAACACGCAGTACCATCGAATGCGCACGTGTGCATGTACCTTGAAATTTCTGAAAAAAAAAATCCAAAAATAGATACGCCACTAGGGTTTCAACCCTGGTAGGTAGCATCTCACTGGACAACTTTACCACTGGATCACAGGCCTATTTTGCATTGCTTGCCTTTTCAATGCAATTACTCCCCTAAAAACCGGCTGAAGGACACGTGGACGCCTAAGAGGGGGGGGGGTGAATTAGGCAACTTAAAAACTTACTCTAAACTATGGCCTCTTTTTCTACTTCTAGCAAAACCTATGCAAAAGATAATCTATCTAGATGTGCAACTACGGTTTTGCTAGTGTGTTATATCTCTCTACAAAATGATAATAATATGATCAATGTAAATGCGGAAGCTTAAAGAGCAAGGTAGAGATATGCAAACTCCCGTCGACGACTCGGTATTTTTACCGAGGTATCGAGAAGCGCAAGCTTCCCCTAGTCCTCGTTGGAGCCCCTCGCAAGGAATCCCTCGCAAGGGCCAAGCTCCCGGTCGGGTAACTCCGTGGATAGCCTCGGGCCTTCCCCACGCGCAAGTGGGTCTCCGATGTGCCTTCCGGCAAGCCTCTCCCGGATGCTCCCGCCGTCTTCACTATCAAGCTTTCGGCAAACGCCAGGGCCTTGTTCCCTCCGGTACACGGTGGCGGCCACACCACAAACGCGGTTGGTGTGATCTCGCAAGACTTCAAGCCCCTCCGATGTACAACACTTGTGCTCACAAGCACGGGGTGGCAAGAGGTATGCAAACCTCACTTAAACACTAGGCAAACACCTAGAGCAAGCGCATAAGCGATGGTCTAATCAACCTAAGCACTTCGCAAAAGCACTTATGCTAATCACCTAATAAAACACTAAGTACTATGCATGTGGAGATCACTCAAATGGTGTATCAACACTCTTGATATGTTTCCTCAGCCTCCACACTTCTCAAATGGCGGTTGGGGGTGTATTTATAAGCCCCACCGAGAAAGTAGCCGTTGGGGTCGAACTCCCGCAATTACGCCATCGACTTGGCGCCGAATCGAATCGATCTGACGCGGGCCGCGTCCGTCGTCCCGACTGCGTTAGCCGTGAACTACCGATCGGACGCCGCTGCCGTCGTCGCTTCCACCACCGGACGCGCGTCCGGTCGCGATTCAGCGCGCTGAACCTCTCTCAGTACTTTCGATCGGACGGACTGCGTTCCTTACGTCCGTCGGTCGGTTGCCCAGCGTCCGGTCCTTGCGTCCGGTCGCTCGTTTGACGAGCCCAACCACCGTCCAGCGTCGGTCGCGCTTTCGGCGTCCGGTCCAGCGTCCGATCGCCGATCGGACGGACTGCCGTTGTCGATCGCCGCTCCACGGACGCGTCGTCGGTCCGCGTTATTCAGCGCTGGAACCTCTTCAGATTTCGACGGACGCTGCGTTCTGCGTCCGGTCGGTTGCCGCCAGCGTCCGGTCCTTGCGTCCGTTGCGCTTTCTCGACAAAACCACCGGTCCAGCGTCCGGTCGCGCTTTCGGCGTCGGTCCAGCGTCCGATCGCCTCTGCGAGCTCGTTTTTTTGCGATCTTCGCGCACGGCTTGGTTCCTATCTTCATGCTTGGACTTTGCTTGACATCTTGGGTCTTTTCTTGTGCTTCTAAGGTCTTGCTTGAGGTGTTGATCATCGGATCATCACGTCGCCTTCGTCCAAGTCAAGTCACGTCTTGCACCCTATTGGACTACAAAACAAACACTTGCAAATTCATTAGTCTAATTTGGTTGTGTTGGTCATCAAACACCAAAATCCAAAGTAAATGGGCCAGGGTCCATTTTCCTTACAATCTCCTCCTTTTGGTGATTGATGACAACACGACCAAAGCAAGCAAATGATAAAAAAATTTAAATTTAAAATTATCTACTTGCTAGGATGCAATGTAAAGGACAGGTTATATGATACTAATTGATAGATACCAATTAAAACTTTACTTAAAAACATGTCTTGCCCTTGCAAATGTCCCCATGTGATATTATGGATTAAAGCCTATCTTTCTAAAAAAAACTTCTCCCATTAATTCACTTTCCTCCCTTTCTCGGACCATTACCACTTGTAGACATCAACTTGATGCTTGCCTTTGGTCCTTCAAATTCTCCCCCTTTGGCATCAAACACTAAAAAGGAAGACATTAGTAGCATAAGGGAGGGTCAAATTTCATGATCCTTTGTGTATAGAGTGAAATGGATCACAAAATTTGACTCTCGCATTATATAGACTAAGCTCCCCCTAAATATATGCATACATATGGTAGAAAGCAAAGCATATGCATAATTAGCAATTTGTTGCACGAGAGAGTTTAATCTATATAATGCATGGAGAAAGCATATAAATATGAAATGAAATCAACATGATGATGCCAATGAAGAACGATGCTTCTCTTGGGGACTCCATTTTCCTTGCAATGAGACCACTACACACATGATAAACTTGAAAAGGGTGTTAGTCTCAAAGCGTCCATCTTGTAGATGATCCTCCCCCTAAATTTGTGCATGGAGACATGGAATACTTGTAGTACTCATGCACAATTGATTTTGGAGTCAAAATACCACTTGAAAGATGATATTTGGGAGAAAATTATCTACAATTTGGACTTTGGCACATATTAGATAAACAATAGTAAGACAAGCTATATGCCGTGCTCCTAAGCAATTTTAAACCATGTAGGTTTGCTCCAAGGGTTACAAATGAGACCGAGCAAGCCTACCATATGAAATACCTAGTGTATGCATGACAAAGGATATAAGCATGCAAATGTAACCCTAGGCATGAAGAGTAACTAGATGCTTAAAGATACCAATTGTAGGAAAATCTAATTGCAAGATGTACCAATTAAAAAGTAATAACATCTAGTTACCTAACATGGGAAGGGGAATTTGGGTCCATAGTATTCACTAACCCACTTGGCAATGATTTTGTCCATCATGATGCACCCCATGAAATGCACCCATACTTTGCCAAGTCTCCAAATTCCCCGTGGTCTGACGGACTTCTTACTTCCTTTCGGGATCCAAACCTTCTTGGTGCTCTTCATGTTGGAAATGATTTCCTTTGGCACCCAAAAGCGTTTGACCCCATTGTTTGCTTGCTTGTTCACCTTGATGGCCACCACCTTGTCATTTTTTCTTCTTCTTCAAGAGATAAGGTGTGGAGGCCTTCTTGTCCACCTTGTTGGTGTAGGTGTTGGAGAGCTTGCTTGTTTGCTTTTTCTCCTTCTTCTTTGCTCCTCCCCTTTCTTCACCTTGCACTCATAGGACTTGTGGCCTTCTTTGTAGCACACGTGTAGCAAACCACGATTTGTCCTTCATCAAGCTTCTTCACTCCCTTGACGGTGTTATCTTGATGAAGTTGGGTTTGCTTCATTGCCTTTCATTTGAGTCAAGTCCTTGGTGAGGCGAGCTACTTCTTGCTTGAGTTGCTCATTCTCTTTTGCAACCTCTTGTGTGCATGTATCTACAATCACTTTCTTAACACAAACTTGGTTGCACAAAGGTGAGTCTAAACATAAATCATTGCAAGAGGTAGATGCATCCTTTTTAATTATGTCATTTCTTTTAGATGCCTTGGTGGGGGTATTTTTTACTGCCTTAAGATTAGCAACTTGATTTGTTAGCTCATCACAATGTTTGCACATGATTTCCATTTTAGCAAGCAAACTTTGATAATCATTTTGTGAGCTAGCTAACTTTTCTTTTAATTTTTCATTTTTCTTTTCAAGTTGCTTATCATTAATTGTGCATGCACTTGTTGTTGCACTAGCCTCAAGTTGCTCAATTTTAGTAGATAGTTCAACATTGAGATTTGCAAAGTTTTCATATTGTTCAAGCAAATTCTTGTATGCTTCTTGTGAACTACCTAGCTCTTCTTTTAAAGTTTTGAGCTTCTTTTGTTGACTAGTGCAAACTTTAGCATATTTAAGATTTTGTTGCACAATTGTATTGTAAGAAGGCAAGTCATCATCACTATCACTCTCACTAGAGGATGAGCTTTTGTTACCTCGTGCCATAAGGCACACACGAGAAGAGCTTGATGATGAGTGCTTATGACCTCGCCTTTTGTGATGGTTTTCTTCTTCACTTGAAGAATCATCCCATGACCTTATTGTTGTGAGGGCTTTGTTTTTGCACGCCTTCTTCTTTGTCTTGGGTGTGGGCTTGTTTGGACAAACTTCCACAAAGTGCCCCATCTCGCCGCATCTGTAGCATCCTCTCTTTCTTTGCTCATTTCTTTGATTGGTGAAAATGAGATCTTGAATTTGGATGGGCACACCCTTGACATTGAGCCTTTGGATCATCTTCTCCACCTTGTTGATTAATTTGATTGATT